TTAAGACACTTCCATCTGTTTAAATATTTGACTTCCTTTTCTAAGCTTCCAGAACCAACCTGATGTCGGTGTTAAATTTAAGTTTTACATGCATGCTAAATATGTCACACACCAAGTAAGTAACCAAGAAAATTGGCCTTGTAAACCTTATGAAAATAAATAATCTCAATGCCTTGTTGAATTTATGGATCCTTTATATATAACTGACTGCAGATAATGAGGTTTCATTAATCAATTACAAGATAGAGGTGTGAAAATAAACAAATTTACACCTAAACATATTTAATAAGTATGCTGTGATGTTATCCAGCAAGATGAGATGCTCACAGGTCAGTTCAGTTCTATAGTTGGGAAAGTGGTAGATACTTACAGCTGAGACATGACAGCGCAAACATGTGTTTTGTGACTTGAACTATGGTATCCCACAACAGATTGGCCAATTTGTCTGGAGACATTGTGTAATATAAACAATCCTTGAATCCAACACGTTACAAATAACAAACCTGAACAATACTTTAGCACGAGGGTATTAACACAAGAGTGATGAATCTACCAGCTGTTACATAACATGACACAAACCAAGCAACACATCTCCATCAAACAAGAAACTCATAATTTCGATGCCTGACTCGTGTCTGTCAGAAACTAAGCCAAAAAAGCGTTGATCTTGTTTTAACGTTAATTTTACAAACATTCAGGGTTACATTAGTGACGTTAGTTGGACAATTAAGCTGATGATACATGGGGCAACTTTTTGAGCAATCTTGCTGGTGGCAAGTCCAACTATGTTTTCAACGGATAGTGGTGGTGCGGGGAGGGTGGCAGAGTGATGGGGGAAGGGGATTACGGTAATAAACTTTACTCATTATCATTGACGGCAACATTGCTCTAAAAGTTGCTCTGTGTATCATCAGCTTTACTTGTCTAATCTCAAAGGAAAGTACGTGCTTCAATACATAACATTACTATAGAATCTTACGGTAAATAGCCACGTTTAACGTTAACTATAACATTACTGACAATAACTTCCTAACTCTCTAACGTTAGATTACCATAAGCTTTGACGTTACAGGTTAACATTCACGTAAAGTTACCTGTGAAACATTTGACAGTTGTTGACGAGTTTAATAACAATATAGCGTTAGTCCTATATTTTTCAACACCTTAAGTCGTTTAATTTACCTAGTATTAACCCAGAAAACATGTTACATCGTTGCCCATAACGTTTTCCACTTGGGTTATCCAGCTAGCATGAAGCTAGCGTGAACTCGCAATAAAAGTATCGACAGTGTTAGCTAAGTTGTTAACTAGCTAACGTTAAGCTAACATTACCGGCTAATGATAGAAAAAGTCGCGCGTTTACCTGACTTGCTTTGTAAAATTGCTTCTTAAATCCTGCGACCGACATCTCGCACCGTCAGCGTTGCCACCTGGACCTCGACGGGGAAAATGTGTATTAAAATAAATAAGTTACTGTGGGTTTGAGGTTTACAGCGGAGACACCAGCCGAGCAACACGTATTGAAACTTTGCACCGTAGATGTGAAACTTGCAAGGCCTAAGCGACCACAATTTCCTGGACTCAGCTTCATATGCGAGGCTCCATCCTGGTGGATAAAGTGGGTCAAAACACGCACGCAAATCATGCATCTAAACATTCTTCTTTCTCAGCAAAATGTCATAATGAATAAACTGACTTTGACTTTAGTTGACAAAGACATCCATGAACCCGCATGAAATATTACTTTACTGTACATTGCTCCTACATACATTTTGTTTATAGTAAATCAATAGCTAGTCTTTGAAAACTATATTTCTATTTATAGGAATTTTGTTTAAATATCTAGTTATTTAAGTTAATTCAGGACTTTAACTAATGCTTATTTTCACCATCTATTTGTCTGTTACTTTATTAATTAATAATTTGGCTGATAAAATGTCAGAAAATGGTAAAACAAAAAGGCCCAAAATCACAATCTCCTGTAGCCAGATGTGAAGTTTTGTCAAAAATCTCAGACTCCATCCAGTGAGGAAGACTTTAAGAGGTGGCTGAAAGCTTCAGAACCAGTAGTTTTATTCAGCTACTGTTGTTCAACTACTGTTTCCATAGTAAAGAAAGATCTTTCACATTCAACTTTAAATGTTAGAGAAAGCTATTTGATGATAGATAACAGAGAGAAGCAGCACATTATTATATAGGAGAAGCTGCAACCTGAGAATGGTCAGATTTTTTGCTTGATAACGTTGAACTTGAGTTATCATTTATGGAAATTGTAGCAGATACATTTTTTGATTTAATAGACTAATCCTTGCCGTTCTTGATTAATGACATGAAAGGAATACAGTAGGCACATAACAGAAATGCTAGTCTGGGATTCAAAACATTAGAACGGTTGTGGCTATTTTCATTTGCAGGATTATATGATATGATTTTAGAGACTGATTAGACGTCTGATCAGTCAAGAATATGCAAAGACCCATTTTACATGCAATTAATCATGAAAGCCATATTCTAGTTCAAGTAAGACTCAATGAAACATTTCAAAAGAAAAAGAAACCATTTATTACATTCTTAAAACCACATATAATGTATCCCATCGGGGCAACAATATATATCGCGCTGTGTGACTCAGTTACTCTTGGACTAGTAATATACCTCTTGTACATTTTGTCATACAGAGAAAGAAAAGGGAGACAAACTATTCTTTTTTTGTTTGTACTTTTCCTAATCTTTCTTCAATTAAAAAAAATAGATCACTGACTTTACGAGACAAAAGTGGAGACACCTAAAGAAAGGGGTGGATAAAAGACTGACAAATAAATGAAAATCACAGCAAAAGAAATATTAAACCCCAATAATGAAATTTGCCTTTAACTCTAAGTGATTCATTTTTTTTTATTCCTGTCTCGTAAATTTCATGTTACAATATTAGGACAAACGGGAAGGGCTTTGAAACTTTGTGAGTAACATTCACAAAAAGAGAATTTACTACCACAGTGATTATGGTTATGGGTCTCATCTTGGGTGCAAAGGTGTGAGGAGCACAAGGCTAAAAGACAACACTGGTGATAAAGGGACAAGAGATCACAGCTAGCTCCCTGAGCAGCAGGCAGCAGGTCCGCAGACTCTGCTCGAGAACTTCACAGCAACCCAAGTAAGACATTACCATCATCATCTCAATGCTTTATCAACCTTTAGAAAGTGTGTTATTTATGTTTATGAAAAATGTAAACAGTTGTGGGTGACCTTGTGTGACAGATATGGAATACAAAACCAAACTAATACAACAGATTGACCGAAAGGTCTTACTGGCATTGAGGCCCAACTCAGGGGGGCAGCTGGTAGCTCTGTCTGGCCTTAGACTAGTGTCCAGTGAGAAAGAGGAAAGTATAAGTGCTTGATATTTAGACAAGTGTTGGGGTTGGGACTAAAAGAGAGAGAACAGCAAATGTACACAATAATACAGTTGCTCCAACCAGTGAACAGGGTTTATGATACATATTATGGACCACTGTTGTCCTGGACTTTAACCAACTGAAACATTATGAGTGAAAGAGAATTATACTACACCTACTGTACTGACTGCTGGTTAGAAACAGGTGTGGAGACCCTGTGTATCCCATTTTATTATACAGTTAATGAAGTCATCTTTTTGCCTTGCTTTCTCGTTTCCTTAGTGTCCTGTTTGTCCTCTTTTCTCTTTAGGCAGGGGTGGGGGGCAGCAACATCGCAGACTGAAAGCTTTCAGTTTAAATGCAAGACAAGGGCAATGTTTTTCCACCTTTTGTTTGAGCCACCTGCTTCCCCTGCTGTGTCGCATCTGCAACAAGTGTCCACCCCTCATCGCTTGCGTGATGACCGCGCTTAACCCCTGCTGGGTTTGCTGTCAGGGCAAGAGGGGGCTGTTGCGATGGAAACCTGAGAGTACTGTCAAGAGAGGAAATTGTCCAGAAAAAAAAATAATAATAAAAAAAATCAGCTTTTGTGAAAAATCCACATCTTACGACCCACCTTTCTCTCCCTCTCTCTCTGAACTGAACTCACACATTCTCACTCTCTCCATATACTTATATAGTCATCTATTTACATTCTTATTTAAAATATTTGTTTATAAATGTGTATATAAATTAAAGATAATTTCATTTTGTCCTGTCTCTAAGTGGCATTTACAAGGTCAGGGGGTGTGTGGGATTGAGGTTTCTCATTGCATTACAAGAGCCTACAAAGAGGCAGCACCGAACACTGTCTAAATGTGCGTGAGACTGGTTCTCACTTAATTAAGGAGGTCAGCTTTAGCCGTGAGTCATATCGAAATTGTGTGTTTCTTTTTATATTAGTTAAAATGGCTCATGATCTTGGTCCCAAAATGATGGTCAGTACGAGGATATTGTCTGTATGAATACAACATGTGTACCATACTGAGATGTATTAATACAAAGAGAAATATTGACTGAGCTCTGTGTTAATAGTGAGATCTGTTGATCAACACAACTTAATTTTATAACTAAGTGTAACTAACTCAGAGTGGCAGGGTTGTACATTCACTGTTGTTAGGTTCTGATTTGTGCACTGGTGCTTATCGATGAGGTACATTCATAACTGGTTGGGCGATCCACTCTGGATCTGATGTTGTTAGCGCTTGGAGCTGTCTCATGCTTAGTGGGCTGCTGTGTTATTATTACAATGCCCATGCGCCTGTTGTTAATGCTACAATATGCGAAGGACCATGAGCATGTGTGGTCTGTAGTGTAAGGTGCTTTGCTTGCTGGGAAAGTGGAGGACTACTTTGGGATCATGGGAGACGGAGTATTTAAAGTCCTGGATTGTCGCTTAACTTCAGGTTGTTGAGCTTCAACATCCCTATCCTACTCTTGTCTCTCCGTTTGCTTCCCTACCTTTTGATACACTCTCTCCATCTCTCTCTTCTGTCTATCTGTCTGTCTAGCTGTTGGTGGAGTCCGGCAGAGACATCTCGCTGCCAAACACTTCCCGGTACAGTGGCGGGAAACTGTAGGCGGTCTCCGGGTGGACCAAACGGAAAAACTCGAGTTTGTCAATGTGGAGGTTACAGATAGACTTCATTACGGGCAGCTTGGACACCATCTGTGGGGACAGAAGATATACAAAGGTAACTTTATGTATGCTTGTCTTTATGTGAGCACATTTGTGTGTCTAAGAAGAACTGTGGCTGCTTGTTTTTACCTTGTCCAGTTTCTCGTCAGAAGCACCACTCTTATGTAGACTGTGCTGCAGAGCCAGATAGACTTTCTCCTGGAGTTTTTGAACCTTTTGGCCTTCTGTTAGCCAGGGTCGATCTACAGGGAAGAAAATATAAACCCCTTAACATACAGTTTTGTTTCTCCTTAAGTGTTTGTCAAATCATATTCCACATTGTGCAACAGTTTGTATTATGATGTAAACATCATATCATGTCAGCTGTTGACACGATATGATTTTTACACTGAGTGAAATTTTCAATATTCAATAAAATATATATGTTTCTTTTATGGCCGCACCATTCAATCAAATGGAATTATATTAGATTAAATATATACATTTCTGCACACCAAAATTCAGCCTGATTTATTTGGAATGTTTGCAAACAGTGTTTAGCGAGGGGCTGCTGCTTTTAATGATGTCAAGCATCATTTAAGCGATGCTGTCGTGTACTAACTTCTTTTGGTGCAATTCTAAAACTGGCAATCCAGAATTGTGAGCCAAAAGACACATTCGGAAAAATGAATGAATGAATGAATGAAAAATATTTACAAATGAGATAAATCTTTGGCAATAATGTTAATAACCTCCATGTTTGAGACATTGACAACAAAAAGTATATCATGTCGAATGTGTATTTTGAAAATGGACATCCTACAATCGCTCTTGAGTATCGGTGCGGCCTTCTCAACCAAGGACAGAACAGTAATAAATAGACAACTATGAATTTGCAGTATAGTGTGCACTTCTTCTTGAACAGGTTAGTGTTAATGAATAAATGTGCGGGCAAGAAAAGAGAGGAAAAAAAAAAAATCACCAGGCGATAGAAGGACGGCTGCGCTAAACAGAGCCATCTCTTCGTCAGACAGCTGTAGACGGCAGAGTCCTTTTCCCAGGTCAAACACTGCACTGACCAGGTCGTCACAGCCTGCATAAACACAGGAAATGGATAAATTAATTGTCAAAAATAAAAGCTTGAGGACTTCAATAGTCATGCTTAATTCGACAAGTGACCCGGGAGATGACTGGGATGATTGAAGCCTATGTTTCTGCGTGACCTCTCAGTAGACATAGGATCCAAGTATTTTCTAAAAACATCTGCGCATAACAGCGCACAGAGAAATACTGCAGTAGTGAATGCTTTAATATATCTTAAAATGGCTCATGTAATTTTCCCTTAAATTACTTTATCACAATGTTTACTGCCTTGTTTAACGGTGTTTGTTTTCACTTTTTCGATTACAGTTGCATTGTTACACAGTTTTGGTGGCACTAAAGAGGTAAGTCAGTGCTTCAGAAAATCAGCTGGAAGCTTTTAATAACTCATTCTCAAGAACTGCAGTTGACAAGATTGAAACTGAAATTGCTGTCTTATAGAGCCATTTCAAGAACAATTACCACTGTCAGATAATTTAAAATAATGAATTTCGTTAGTCAATCCATTGGTATCTCTGTGAGCTGTCAGTAATGGATTGAGAACAGTAGGAGCCGAGACATTTTCTTAGGCATCAGAGATAATTAGTGTGTGAAAAAGGGAGAAGATTTCCTAGCTTGAAGAAATAGTGAGAAACGGAAGAAGCTTTCATGTGTGACCCTGCCAATTATCTGAACGCTTTAAAGCTTTCACAACTAGATTCCCATCTGATCCTCACCAAGTGCTTTGAAGAACTGAGCCGGGGCGAACTTCCCATTGAAGAAAATGGTGTTGTTGTTGGCGTTGAACGCTCGGCACATGCGTATCAGCAGCACTTCCAAACAGCCTGAAAGGGTACCCACAGACAGAGGCAAAGACATGGAGAGATGCAGGAATGGAGAAAGAAGAGGAAGGGGGAGGGATGGACAGAGAGTGCCCAAGATACTCCAACATGACAACACAACAAACAAAATGTAAATAAATTTGACCCAGATTGGTGCACAGCATATATAAGACATTTTGAACCATATAAAAATCAGCAGGATAACATGAATATCCACAGATTTTTTTTAAAGTTCAAAAGATTTACAGAGAGTAAACATATTGTCCAATATATGCATTTATGTCGCAGATATATATATATAAATATGTACGTGTGTGTGTGTGTGTTGAACAGATAAAGATATTATTGAAAATTTTGTTTTCAGAAACGTGTGTAATTTATTAAAACAAATACATGGATGGTAAACAAGACAAAGGTAGAAGATTGGAGACAAAAAAACAGGAAGGAACTAAAGTTAGCAAGTTTTAGACCGTTTACTTTTGAAAAATTCATTCTGTGCATTGAGTATTTGAGATGTGAGCATTTTTAGACTGTACACTGACCTGCTTTCAGCAATATAATCTGATCATTCTGGCACAAATCCATGAAGCCAGCGATGCGTTTGGCAAACTCCACCACGTACTGAATGGCGTTGGTGATGTGGTGTGCACACTGCTGCCACATCCACTCTGCTGACTGAAAAAGAGACACAAAGAAGAAACGTGAATGTTAGTCCAAGATGAGTCCATGATTATTTTCTTAGTTGTTTTTCGTCATCAGATCAGATTTAGATTTGTTTTTGTGGAAATCACAGTTACAATTTCAGAAATCGAACTTCTGCCTGCTCACGAGAAACAATACATCAGCAAAGTAAGCTTATATATGACATTGTGATACTGAGCTGTTATTCTGATCTAGTATTGACACATTTTAATGCTGTCAATGTATGCAACTTTAAACATACAAATTGTAAAGTGTGCATTATGTACCTTGTTTTGAAAAGCTCGTGTGTCCTCAGGTGTGTATTGTACCCAGGTGAATCTCTTCATGTCTTCAGCGCTGTACTGACACGTCTCCAAGTGAGACTTAACAATACTCTGAGTTATGCGCTCTGTGTGAAAAAAACACAAGTATATACACGATAAACATCAGTGTTTTGCTCACTCAGGTTGTTTGTTGGAGCAGGTTCGGGCTTAGAAGAGACAGAGAGAGTGTAGCAGAGTGTAACAGCGGTATTGTTTACACATCAACAGATCACGGCAGCATGACCTTGCATAACAAGGTGATTTGCACCACTCTGCTGTTACGTTTGCCACCGATGCTCCCCGACAAGATTGAGCTCTAATGACTCATCTTATCTGTTGGGATCTTTTCCAACTACTGCATTCATAATATCCACCAGTCACAATATTTACTCATTACTTTCTTTAAAAGTCCCCAGAGGCCCATTCAAAGCCTCCTTGCAGTTTATTGATGCTTGCAACCATAAAGATGTAAAATAAAATGAACAATTTATTCTTCACCAAGGTCTCTAGAGACGCCTCTCTAAAAAAATGCCTGTGCTTCCTTACCTCTTCCCTTTATCTGTCCCTGTTTTTGAGCTTGCACTGCTGTAAGCCTTCTGTCTGTTTCATTTCACTTGTTTTCTGCTTGTTTTACCCATTTAATCTTTTATTTGTGTCCTTGTGTCCATTCAGTCCTGTTTTGCTTTTCTATCTGCTATGTATCGTTCTGTTTTTTTGCTAACCTGTTTATGAGATATGTCCTTTACATGTGCTTCATCTTTGGTTATTTTTTTACTGAATCATTTTTGCTTTTAAATTATATTTTATATTATATTTCATTTAGTTTTATTTAAGTCATTATTCAACCCTTTAGCCCTGCTAAAATGTTTTTGGTAAATTCTAAAATAAAAGCACATAATGGCCAGGGGGGAATAAAAACACTATAAACTGCTGTTATTGACACTCTGCACTTATCTTTCACGAAGAAAAGTAATAATGCTGTCAGAACTGCTCAGAGTGACTTAATGTCAAACAATTGGAAGAAGCGTTGAGTTTGCATTAAGAGCATGCAGCAGAAAAAAACAGTACTCACCGAGGTCTGTTATTGAGCAGTCATCAGGCAGATGGTCCAGCAGTGCATGTGTGTGTGCCAGCAGCGGATGCGTGAGAGAGTGTGTGTGCAGGAGCTGGATCCCGTTGCTGTCCGCCCCATCCAGCATAGTCTGCTGAGGGGAATTCTGATTGGACAAGGATGATGAAGAGGAAGAAGCGGACGATGAGTTGGAGGTGTTCCCGGTGCTGGCCCCTCCGCCGAGCAGCTCCAGGCTGCAGTACTCGCTGGCCTCCTCGGGGGTCAGTGGCAGGTCGAACAGGTCCGGCAGCGCTGCGATGTCGTCCAAGTCGCTGAGGGTTGAGCTAGAGCCCCCACTGCTGTAGGACCGGCTCAGACCCTCTTCACCCTCCTCCCCGCTACCGCCACAGATGCCGTCCTCCTTGGGTAAGGACAGAGCAGTAGAGCCTCCGCCTCCGGAGCCCACACCCTCCTGGGACTTCTGGTGTTTCTGCACCTCAGCATAGAGGCTGTCACGCTGCTTCTTGGACATACGACCGAACTTGACCGCTGCAGAGATACAATACAATTCATTATAGTAGACAAACTTCATCAAACATCTCACAAGTGATTGTAAATACCTGGCTAAAATGAACACTGATAATAAGTCAATTTTTTTTACCTAGCGATTGCTGTGGCCAGACATAATACATTTCACATCTGTTTTCTGAAGCTGTTACATCAATCTGTAAGGTATTTCTGGCTCACATAGATTACTTCTGCCACCTTCACTATAAGTACTGTATGTTCCAGTCCCTATGTCCAGTTTGCCTGATGACAGTTCGTCACCTTTTCAGCCTGTATACAGTTTTTGTTTTCTGTCTGTAACCTACAGAGACCTACACAAGTGGCGAGGACTCTTACAACAGCTCTTGTGAAACTTTGCTTCAGATTCTGTCTTTTTTTAAAGAGATTCACTGCAGAAACACATCTACTAAACTTCCGCTGTGTAAGTGTTAGTTTAACAAAACTTAATTGTAAATGTTTTATTTTACCGGTGAATGTCATGGTTAAAGGAAGTGTGTAAAGAGGGGACAGTGCAATCTTTGTGCGTGTTTACCGTCTCTGCTCATGCCCAAAGCCAGACACTTCTGTAGGCGGCAGTGCTGGCAGCGGTTACGGTTAGTGCGGTCGATCAGGCAGTTCCTCTGGCGGGAACAAGAGTACATGGCGTTGTTCTGCTGGCTGCGACGGAAGAATCCCTAGACGCACACAAACACACCCATACAAACACCGTAAATGACATATCACATTTGAGATAAAACAGGTTGGTTAAGGTTTGGTAGCCTGGTTTCCTCCTCACCTTGCAGCCTTCGCAGGTGATGACTCCATAGTGGATTCCTGAGGACTTGTCCCCACAGATCTTACAGGGGATGACCTCGATCTGAGCTGCAGGAACGAAAACAACATTGATGACAGAGGTCAGAATGCAGCTGCCTAATGTGTCAAATTGCCCCAAATTTACAAAGAAAGTGAACTTGAGATAAGGCAACATCTGCATCTAATAGTATGGACTTTTGCCCAAAACAGTCAATTTCACTACATTGAGAAACATGACACATTCATTCAGACATAACACACACTTTCACAGAAGCCTATATTTACAAACTATTATTATCAAAATGAACAATGATTTACTGATCACTGCTAATTCCAGTGAACTTGGGTTTTGACTGGTCTTGTGCATACCTCACTAGTTTTATGTTGTATTTGAAAGGGCCTCTTCCTCTTTGGCCCCTGTCTCTATTGGTGTCACCCAGAAGTCAGTTAATGCTCTCAGTTTATGTGCTTGCCCTTTGGACATATTGTCAATAAACACATTATTTTTCAATGATACACAGCCATTCAGTTAGTCCCACTTAAACCTGGCAAGAAGGCAAAATGATCCTGTGTTACAAAATTCCTGGTAGTGAATGTAACGAAACTTCTTCCTGCTTAATCAGTTCTTTGCAGCTTCTTCATCACTATAATACAAGCCAGCAAGGCTTTTTCAGGCACGTTTTTTGTCTCTCTCTGGTCATTTACGTTGTGGTATCGTGTTTTCTCCTGCTATAAACCTTGGAGAAAATAAGGTCCTTTGTATCTTTAGACCTTAAAATAGTCACCCATGCTTCTATCTCATCACAGTTCAATTACTGTAACTCTGTGTACTCTGAGCTCTCCTGCCTCCAGCTGACACAAAATGCAGTTGCGAGGCTTTTAACAATTTCTGTTTCATGGAGTTCTCTGGGAGACCTCTAGTTTCAGATTTGTATTTAAGACTTGACTGACAATGTTATAAGAGTTAAGACACATAGTTACATTTTATGCCAGTCCCTTTGAGTCAGAGTGCAGTCTGTGATCCTGAGTTCAGTCCTTTTGGTTAAAACATGGGGTGACCGTGTCTTTGAAACTCCCTATTTGTAAATCCCATGCCTGTAAAACTTAAAACTTTTTCTTCTTTTTTTATTGTTTGTTGGTGTGGTTTTTTTTGTCTCTTTTATGATGCTTTCTGACCTTTGAACTTTGCTGTATTGGATGTTGTTTTGCAAACATGTTTTATTTATTATCAATAGGAAATTATTAACACATTTCAGAAACTGAAACCAACGCAAATCCTGTACAAAACTGGAGTAATCAAAGACAAAAAAAAAAAACACACATCAACAATGCAGCACTAATTAAGGCACATATTGTTTTACTATTGATGGCCTGCAGAAAAACTGTCCAACAACAAGCACTTACAGTACATGAGAAGATAACTTGCCATGAACTGTGTTTGGCTGCACCCTGCATGTGGCCCCAATGAGGGAAGAGAGTACACAAACAGATCATCACATGACACTTGCACACATGACACATACACAAAGACTCCTTCTTTCTT